AAATACATTTGTCTTCTGCTGCCTCTTTCCTACTCAAGCAGGAATGTGATGTGGTGCATTCTTTCAGTGACATTTGCGCCACAGCGACAGGAGCGCCTGACGGAAGAGGTTAGGAGAGAAAGGCATTATTTAGATCAAGATCTCAGACAGGTGTCTGTTTAGAAACCTCTGATTAGGGAGGCTGGAGGGAGCTGGGGCAGCTCTGCTGTGGAGGCGGAAACATAAGGCAACAGCTGCCCACCTGGCATGGACCCGGAAGCGGAAGCTGCAGGTCAGAACCAGGGACAGTCACGAGGCCCGCCTCCGGTGATCTACTTCTACTAGCCGAGCCCACATCGTAAAGGCTCTAAGACCCTTAGAGAAGGCCTACAACCTGGGAGGAACATTCCAGACACGAGTGAGACATTTCAGATCCAAACTGCCTCATCCCCATGTTATATTAAGGCTTTTCCTTGCCCTTGGGCTAAACGAACTGGCTTGTTCTGCGTGTCTAAGGAAACGTTTCCTTCAGTTCTGGCATTGGCTCCCTAAATTTTCTGAAGAAAGGGTCTTTTTCTTGTTCAACTTGGAGCCTGGAAGAGTTCCTACGTGTATAAATAATTGACACTAAATGAGTGAATGGGTGGGTAATGGGATTATTTAAAAACCACATTGAGTAAGGATATATTTAAATTTGGGGGAAACTCAAAGTGGATGCATACGACATTGCACTGATCTCATTTTGTGCTGTCTGACCAACTCAAATTCCTCATTTCCCTGCGTGTGCAATTCCATTTTTCACTTAAAGTCTATGAACTATTTTTTTTTAAATAATACCGTGTTTAGGAACACTTAGGAAGAAATTTAGCCAATACTTTGCAACATACATACATACATGTAAAATGGAGGGAGAGCTGGGTTGGAATAAAATGGGTCGTTTTGCATCCCACATATTTGGAGCACTTAACTGCAGAGATGGGAGGCAGAGGTCTGAGGAGAGAGCTTCCCTGATGCAGGAAGTTAAATACTACCAGTCTTCGTTGAAAGCCCATGGCTGCTGTCCTTCATGTTTATGATACGGAAAGCGTAAGAGAAAACCTCGTATCTACCCTCAGCTTTCTCAGTGCAGCCTTCCGTGTCTGACACGTCCAGAAACTTCCTGTCAGCATGGACACAGCCCACTAGCGGTGCTGAAGAGAAAGGACTGCTGTGTGTGCAGCCGGAAAACATCTTTCTAAAATTCTCACTGGAGAAGCCACGCCAAGCCCGCACATCTTGTCACCTCTGAGTGTGCGGTAGGTGTTGTGAGTTGGATTGTACTTTCCAAGAGAAATAACTGAAATTCTAATGCCTCCCCCTGCACTCGATATCAGTACCTCACAATCTGCCCTTATTTGGAAACATGGCCTTTACAGTCAAAGGCTTGGTTGAAAACCTTAAAAAAAAAAAAGGGAAAACTTGAACAAAGAGGCAGTCACACATAGTCTTCAAGAAGACCATGCAAAGGGACAGAGAGAGGCAGACTCTTGGAGATGAGATCAGACAGGGCAGTGGTGGGGCAGCATGCCTACAGGTGTAGGAATACCAGATACTGTTAGCAGCCGAAAGCAGAGGGCGAACCATGCAGCAGAGCCCACCTCCTGCCCCTGCTTAGGAAGGTGCCAGCCCCTAGCACCCGGACTTCCGGTCTCCATGACTGTGAGCAATAAAGTTCCGTGATTTGAATCCACCCAGCTTGTGGTACTTTGTTGTGACAGCCCTATAAACATTATTGCAGCTTTCTTTTGTCCTCAGAAAAATTACCCAGCTTATTTAAGAGAATTCTGCAAGAATTGCTGGGCCACCTGCAAGTAAGAAGGCGGAGCCTGATGTAGGAAGGACGATTGCATAGGGAAGCAGGAGTGTTAAGTGGTGGAACTTGAACAAATGCCAAAAATCTCCACTGTCAACAAAACACGTTTGTTCTTTAGCTGCATGGAGGGAGACTCTGACTCCCATTCAAGAGAAAGCTGGAATGTGCCTGCGAGGAAATGAAGCATGTCCGGGACAAGTGTGGACAAGATGGAGCATTTATTTCCATATTCTCTGGTTCAAGCAGAATGGGCATCATACTGGTAGTGGAGAGAGTGAGGAAAGTCGCCATCTTGATGAGTGTGATCACCACCCTCAAAGAGCAGGGAGAATGCTGTACAGATAGTGTTTAAAATCAATGAAAACTTCCTCTCCTGGAGAACGCCTTGGTTGTACTAACAGCCCACCCTCATAGACATCGGTAATTCTAGAGAAGACATTAAACCATACTTTCTTTCTCTATATCCCAAGAGACAAGCAGAAAGCTGCCTCGGCCAGACAAGTGAAATTGTACTAGTAAGAAATTCTGAATCTGGTCACAGTTTGTCTCACAGAAGACAAAAGAGATGAGAAGAGGGCCCCTGAAGGCCTTAGAAATGACGGATAATTCAAGGACAATCTATCTAGCTTCCATGTTTAGTAAGGGAGCCAGTCCATCAGGAAGTCACCATTGTGCTGAAAGACATCATGAAAATAACACAGACAGGGGACAGGGCACAAATATAGTGTAAGGGACTGTGAGTAGAGAATAAAGAAGCTGCATCCCAATCTGAACTCAATTTCCTTATCCTGTGGAACCTTTTCAGCTCAAAATAAATGCATACAATGGTTGAAAACAGCAAGAAGCAAGTGTGGTGTGGTTTACAGAAGGAACTTTCAGTAGCTGGCAGGGCATCTTGACTATCTGGGTGCAGGTAGAGAGTTTCCCGTGGTGAGAGGTGCTCAAGTAGAAGACAGGTAATTGATTACCCGGAACCAAAAATGCAAGGGGTAATTCAAAGTAGTTGGGTAAGATGACCAATAAGTATTGTGGAGTCTGTTTCCATGTTGGAGATTAAGGGATGACCTTCCCGCGAGAGTCACATTGAGGTGACAGGCGGACTGGGCTTGTTTAGCCAGCACAGATGGGGGAGGGGCATTCAAGTAGAGGGGCCTGCAAGTATGGATCCTGGACATTTGGCTTGCTCTGAGAACTGGGAAAAGACCAGAAGAGGCTGGAGAAAGAGGAGGAAGCAGGTCGCACAGAACACTGTGGGATTTAGAAAATTCCCAAAACATTGGAAGCCTTTGAGGAATTTTGAATAGAGATATGTCCTCAGAAATTATTGCTTTTCAGGCTCTTATAGGCTTAAGGTATGTTTAATATAATGTTGGCCATTATATACAAACTCTGTTTTATGTTAAGCATCGTTCTGGAGCTCCTCATTCTCCTGGAGATACAGGAATGATACACAGCAATAAAGATACAGGATTATCTATAGGACCTAGTTTGATAAGGCCATAGGGATAAACTGTCTGGTAAAACTCTGGACAGAGAGCCCAGAGAGTAAATAACTGGGTTACACCAGCCTTGGGGAACAGCAGAGACACTCAGAACTCTTGTGATAGTTCACCTGAACCAAAACATCAAGATCCGTATGAAATGTTGGTGCTGCATGAGATGTTGTTCATTTCTCTTGGGTGTTTTGGCATTATATACTCTTATCCTGTTGTGTAACTCTGAATTTTTGTGCAAAAGAAAAAGTTTAAAAAAGTTAAAGTGTTACCTGCCCATGAGAGGCTTCTCATATAACTCTTATAAGTCCACGTTCCTGTCGACCACCTAAGCAGTTAGGTGCAGGAGTGACATCACTAGTCCACCTTCTAACTGGCTTTCTAGTAATCCTCAGAATGTCCATGAAGGACAGTCCCATGTTAAACGCCAAGAAAATTTCTGGGTCTCATGGATCAAAATGCATGTTTCTTTGAGAGTGTGTTTGCTTGCAAATTTTGCTTAGAAGTTAGAAATATTACTGCTTTCTAATCTCCTTATCTTTGTCCAACCGAGCAAATTTTATTTCTCTGATTAAAAGCAAATAAATTCAGTAGGTTGGCTCTATTGCATGCACTATATGTGGAGATCTTCTCTTAATCATCCACACAATATACATATATACATTCATATACACACACAGAGATATACATATGTACATTCATATATATTTATACACACACACACACACGAGTCTCTCATTCCCCTTATGGTCTCTAATTAAATCTCTACTAAAACCTTTTGTAATAAACTTCATCTGTGCTTTAAAAATCAAAAAGAAATTTTTATCAGCAATGTTTGAAATAAGTCTCTTCACATTTGCTTGTCTGGGATTATTAAAATACAATCATATATTTTCATAAGTTTAGAAATCAGCAAAGAAACTTTTTATATAGAATAGACCTCCCAGCAGTCGCTCTGAGGCCAGCGTGCACGTTTCTTGGCTCTGGAAGCAGCACTGAGCTTCCCGTTTTCTCAGATTGCAAGTCTCATGGACAACTGTCTTCCCCACTCGCTGTTCAGAGCCAGGCTTAAAGGGCACAGTTGCCTGAGTCAATTTTATGTGAACTGCAATCGATACTTTGAGAAGCCTTGTGGCTGTTTCTTTAATTAAAAGCTTAAGTGTGTGTGTGAAAAAGAGATATCTTGCGTTTTTAAAAGTATGTTTTTATATGGAAGAAATACAGAGAAAGAAAAAGAAACTTCCTTTAGCGAATCATGCTATCGTTCTCAATCACAGCGGTTACGGTTTAAACTTTTAAACAACAAAGAAAATCCCTCTAGTGCTTTATGTCATAGCTCGGTTTTGCCACTTCTGAAAAATCAGAGAACATATCTGTACATGTCGCGATTGCGGAGGGAAGACTGTTCCCAGAAGAGCGGCATGTGACTTTCCCTTTGGGGCCGGTCTTTGGCTTTTCTGACCTGACCTCCCAGGGGTCTAGGAATCTTGGACCACGCACGGCATTAGTGCCAGACGCCCCTCGACGTCCCGGTCATAGACCACTCTACCTCCAGCTCGGATCCAGCAAGCCAGACTAGTCTGGGAGCACGGGAGGCTGAGTTAATCTGCGGGCGAGGGTCCCTCCAGCTCCCGCCACGGGACCTTCGCCTCTGCCCCAGCGGAGCCACCTCTTACCTGCGCGTCCTGAAGCGGCCAACAGCAGCAGCAGCAGCAGCAGCAGCGGGAGCAGCAACCGCGGGAGTTCCGGGAGTTCCGGGAGACCCGGTGCTGGGGTCCCGGGAGCGCTCATGGGCAATCAGCTCAGGTCACATCTCGGGGAAAGCTGCGTGACCTCTCCAGGGCTCCTTTCTACGTGTGGCACCAAGGGCTATGGAGCCCAGAATCCGGGCTCCAGCACACGTTGCTTTCCCCGCAGGGTGTCCCCGTGCCTCTTTCTGGGTTTCAGTTTCCAGTTCATAGGCTTCAAGAACGGATAGAGATCGGTACAAGTAAAGGCTGACTCCGGTACAACATAGTCTTATCTCTCACTTGAAACGTCAGATTTCATCCCGGAAGAAGATGCTGGAAGAGTGCAATAGATATTTCTCAACGTACTGTTGGGCATGCTGCCTTGTCTTAACCTTGTTCGGGGTTTCCTTCCACCCCTGCCACCACAAGTCAGGAGTCTTTGCATTTTACAGAGAGCAGAGGTAACCTCACAAAATTCAACAACTGGCCTGAAGTCTCCCAAGCCTGTGAGAGGTGGTCCCCCAACTAAGAGACAAAGAAAGGGCAAAGCATTGAAACTGTGAGAAAATTCTACAAGTAAATCTCACCAGCGGTCCTTTCTAGATAGTTTTAAATATTTAGCACGACATGAAAACCAACAAATTAACCCTGTGCTTCAGGCACGGTCTCTCTCTTCTCCTTAGTTCCCTGTTGCAAATTCACAAATAAAGAATCACTCTAAAGAAAGGAGTCTCAACACTTGAAACAAACCAAACCAACCAAACAAACAAACCCCTTTTTGGTGGCGAAGGTAGCTAGAAATGCAACAATTTTCGAAGCGTCTTAAAGTCCTGTTTTCTTCCATCTCAAGGAGACAGAGTCCATGTAGGGTTGTCTCATTGGATGGCCTCTGAAGGTTAAAGCCGGACCAGTGTGTCAGCTGTGCAACTAGGTCTCACCGGTAGGGGGCACTAGAGGAGGAAGAACGGAACTTGTTTGCTGTTCATTTGTTGTTTTCTTAGTAATTCCCCATCCTGGTCTTTATCCTGGCAAAAGCAATTTAGTTTCAGCAGGCTTTGGTCCTAGTTTCCAACTCCTTTGTGTACTCTAAGAATCTGCCTCATTGTCCAGACCCAGTTCTCATGGGTTTGAATTTTCTTTTTGTGATATTCCTTTACCATCCAGAGTCCTTAGGTCCTTCTGTTGTTTCTACAACCCTAAGAGTGAAAGTTGCAATGCAATCAGTTGCTACTCACGTTCCATCTTAGCGTTCCTTTCCAGCTTTTAGTTCTCCGACATCTACCTGTTAAGATAATCATTGTGTTTCTCTCCCTTCCTCCGAAAACCGAGCACTTACTAATTCATATGCAATTTCTGAAAACTCTAAATACATGACTTTTATATCAGTGTTAGAACTTGTACGAATTTCTGTTTAAATATGACTCATCCATAGCCTAAAAGGGGCTATCTCAAGCAGGCATATACCTGGCCCTTTCTTAACATGAAAACTGGTATTTCTTGAGTGATAGTCTGCACCCTGCCTTCTTAGGCTAGAGGCTGGGAGACAGCCAGATCCTGCCCTTTCCCGTGATCCTCTGCTAGGAGTTCTTGCGGGCGGCCAATCCAAGGTTCACTTGTAAGAAATGACCTTTCCATAGCAAGGGACTCCTCACTGCATCCTCAGGAATGTTGAGCGTAGCCCTAGGACTTACTGGGTTCGGACTCTGTGATATTTCACACTGAAGAAGAGTTTAATATCTTGTTCTTGCTTGTCGCCCAGAACTCACCTTAGGACACTTCCTTGACATTTCTATGTATTTTTGTGGTGCGGAACCTTATATTCTAACCTCCCACCATAGCTGTTCATTCCAGGTAGGGCAGTCCTTGTCCTACCCAGGCTGAATAAACTCCAGTGTATCCTCGAAAGGTCTGTGACATAACATAATCACATAGGTATTTTCTTTTACTTATCTACATTGCAGTACCAATGCCGCCATTAATCATGTTGAAATCTTAGCTTAGGGAGTCTATTGGACTATGAGTTTTCTAGTTAAACAAACAAAAAAATAAACTAGTAGCACCCCACTATTTTCACCTTTAAGCACTAACAACAACAACAACAACAACGCACACACACACACACACACACACACACGCACACCAAATCGCACATTTTCCTAGTCCACTTTAAGTCCTAACTATTTTCTAGGCATGATGTTTAGCTTTGCTGACTCGACACAAAGTGGCATCACACAAACTGAAGAGAGTCTCTATCGGGAATCGTGTACATTGGGCTGACCCGTGGGCATATCTGTCTGGGATTGCCTATGTTAATTGATGTGAATGACCGAAACCATTATGGGCAACACTCTTGCCTAGGCAGGAGGTCCTGCCCTGTGTAAGAGTGTAGAAGTTGAGCTGGTACAAGCAAGGGGACATGGGCACATTCATTTCTGCCGTCTCTTGATTGTGGATGTGCTGTAACGAGCCGGTGGAAGTTTCTGCCTTGGCTTTCCCACAGTGATGAACCTTAGCCTTGAGTCATAAGCTGACGTAATGCCCCTAGTTGCTTTTTGCCAGGGTACTTGGTACAGAAGCTGAAACGAAACTAGAGCAATGGTGTGATGTATCGTATTGATACTACAAAGTTAGTGGATTCTTCACACAGACACTGGAGAGGCTACGCTAAGATTTTGACATGTGTTGCTTCCTTTAATGCCAACAATCCTGTGAATTAATCATGTTACCCGAGTATCAAAGAAAGGAGACAGGCTTGGACAGGTCGTCCTTTTAGAGCAACAGAAGTGGAACGGGAGCTCTGGTTGCTCTCACATGCCTTCAATATTTTCCTTGTGTGCCTCTTACTTTAAGAAAAAAAAGCAAATAACTTTGAGGTGTGAACTGTAGATTAACAGGACAATTAAAGTGCATGCTTGTTGATTTTTGGTTTCTAGGTCACTAACTACCTTGGGAATAGGGGACAAGCGCTTGCTCCTGAAAATCGAGTAGAGTCCGAGGCAGGGCTGTGCAAACACGACTGTTTTGAAAGCACACTTGAATTGGTGGCAGTTACAGGAGAAACTGGGCGAGATGTTGTTCCTTGTAACAGGTTGAGAGTGGGAGGCACAAGGAGAAAAGAGAGTCCTGGGAAGGGGGCACAGGAAACACCTGGGCCTTATGTGACTCCTAAGATGTTTCTAGTGAAACTGTCTTCCTGCTGGGTAGCTAGAGTCCTGGCAGTTTTTTCACGTTACACCATCAATTTAAATACTAGTTTTATCTAATATCTAAAATCCTACGCGACCCCATCCTACCAACTCTTCCACAAAACCATTTTATTTACTCACTTTTTAAAGAAATAGATTATGCTTTTAAAAGAGTAATTCCTGGATATGCTTGGCTGCAGAGCTCTTGCTCAGGTTTGTAAGGCCTTGGGTTCAACCCCCAGCCCTGGAAACAGTTGTAACCTGGAGCATAGTATACAACGGGGAAAATGAACAGAACAGATGCTGTAACTCTCCGAGTCATCACAAAGTGAATGCGCTGGCAAACATCACAGCACCTCGGGAGCAGAATGATGATCCTGCACCAGATGCTCAGCTCGCAGCTTTCAGTGTATTTTCTCACCTCTGGCTTCTTTCACTTAGGCTACCCTCACAAATGTTAATCATGTTGGAGTTGTAGCGATGGCTCACTGGTTAAGAGCACTTACTGCTCTTTCAGAAGACCCGGGTTTAGTTCCCAGCATGGCAGCTCACAGCTCGAAGGCATCTGGCACCCTCTTCTGGCCTCCATGGGCACCAGGCATGTGTGTGCTGCACACACATACAGGCAGGCAAGCATTCATTTGTGCAAAATAAAAAAAAATCTTAAAAATTTTCTTATAGCTATAGAATTATCCATTTTATGACTTTCCATCAAGTTACAAATTCATTAAGTTATTTTTTCTAGTTTGAGTCTTTTGGTCAAAAGAGTTTGAGTCTAGTTTGTACTCTTTTGAGCATTATTGCAAATGTTACTTACACATATATGTATGTGTATTTTTGTCATCTATACAGTTAGTGATACAGTTTTAGAGCTGTAGGCTAGATGTATTTCTAACTTAAATGGTTTGTGCCAAACCAGGTTTCCAAAGAAATTGTACCAGTTTGCATTCTTACAAGTTATGGGAGACAGTTTGTCCACAATTTTGCCAGAATATCCTGTCTCCTTCATTGCTGTGGGTATTTTAGAAGGTGGGTAATGGTATCCATCGTGGGCTCATTTGCACTTTTCTGATGATTAACGTCACTGAGAATGTTTTAAAGTTTTATTTTTGACAGTAGCATACCTGTGTACAGTACAAATGTGTTAGCTGTTTGGATTGTGATGCTGAGTGCTGCTTCCCGTCTCAGCCAGATCCCCAGGACACTGACCTCTAAGGACATACCAGTGAGGGGATTTGCAGAGAGATTTAACTGGAGAAGGAAGACCTACCCTAAAAGTGGGTGGTATCATCCTGTGTGGTAGGGTCCCTGACTGAATAAAAATAGAGACAGTAAGCTGTGTGCCAGCAGACACGGTATAACCAGCCACCTTCAGTCCCTGCCGTGGTGGAGCATGCCCTCAAACCGTGAGTCAAAACAGATTCCTCCTTCTTTGTCGCTTTTGTCGGGTATTTTCCCACAAGAATGCAAAAGATATTGGAAATACTTTTTCATGAGGGATTCTCTTGGCCTTTTTTTTTCCAGTTAGATTGTCTTATTGTATTTCTATTTATTTATTGTATAAGTGGATGTGGGGTCAGGGGAGTGTACATCTGCGTGATGTACGTGTGTTCAAGTGCAAAAACTCTATTGAATGGAAAAAGCAGACATGAAAGAACACTGACCACCATATGTTCCTGTTAATAAGAAAATCAAGAACAGTTGAAACAGATCAAGTGGTAATAGAAATCGAAATAGTGACCTCTGGTGTGATGGAGCTATATGAGTTATGAGGAACTTTCTGGAATCTGGAAACAGCCTGCATTTTGATCTAAGATTGGTAACATGTTTGTGCACATATAAAAATATTGAAATTAGTATACTTTAAGATAGATAATATAATTGCCTATCTTATATCTTAATTTAAATTTTAAAAAATCTAATTTTAGTTGGTTGTTTTGTAGGAACTGGAAAAGGATCCTAAAATTTAAATGAAAATGTAAAGAGTAAAAAAATCACTAAAGTACTTAAATGAAACAATTTCATTTAATTGTTCTGTTGGCAAAAAAGACAAAGTATTGTATATTAACATAATAGTAGATAAATGATTAATGGGACAGAATATTGCCCATAAACAAACCTACCCATTAATTAGAAAGTCTATGTGATTCATTCACATTTTATCTTCTTTTTCTTGTTAGTTTGTTTCATAAGCTTTTTTTCTCTTTTTATAACAGAGTGTGTCTTGCTATTTTCCAGACTAGTCTCTGATGTATGGTCCTCCTGTCTCAGCTTCTTACATGTTTGGATCACAGACATGTGCCTCCCCTTCCAACTTCCACAATTTTCTTTTCTTCTCTGAGTCAGGATCCCACTGTGTACCCAGGCTAGCCTTGAATTTGCAGTGTTCTAAGCTTGTCTTAAACTCCAGATGCTCTATCTCAGTCCCCCAAGTGCTGGGATTACAAGTGTGTGCCACTGTGTCCAGCATTCTATAAAACGTGCTACTATATGTATTCTTCTTTTAGCTTAAAGGCAAATGTGAGTTTTCTGCATAAGAGTCAATGTTATTCTTAACAGCAATGACGACATTCATTCTCAGATCCACCCAGTTCTTCCTCTTCTGAGATAATGAGATGAGCTGTGGGAATTACATGCACAGAGCATGGGAGAAGAAACCGCAAATGATGAGCAAGCTGGGGGGCAGGGGATTCTAGAATCA